TGTTCACTATAGCACTAGGGCACATATAGCAAACAAAGAGGTGCACCGTCTATAAAATTAATATCTACATTACAGCTAGAACTACATGCATGTATAAGAATATAATGCTGGCAGTCAAAGTTTAAAGAAAGAAAGAGGAATGAACTAGCAGAAATGGGGATACAAATAGCAAACCCTAGAAGGGTTGTACTCGCTATAGAGCACCCCACTACAGGCTAGAACATAAGAATAATATTCTGACACTGACATGCAGTTTGTGCACTCAGTGACTCCTTGCTGCAGGTGTGCGAACGAAAGGGAGATATGGTACTCGATTCCCTTTTGTGCCAGGTAAACTTGCAGCTCCTTGCTGCGAAACACTACTGCGTCGTCCGATTACCAAATTTTTTACTTCTTCCCAAATTGCCGTTGCGCGTGCGCCAGCCAGAGGCGGAAGACCTCGTACGCTCTGCTGCGGAGTTCAACGTTGACTACCCACACATAGCGGGTTTCCGCGTCAACGAATATGAGTATGTACTACTCATCGTTAAGCCCGCAGTGGCCGAGGACGAGGAAATCACTGTACACCTTGTGCAACTTTGGGTAGCGGCTCGTTCCCGACTTCAGTAAGGGGAACGGTTGGTGGCATAGCGCAGCTTTGGGGCAGATGGTGCAGTTGCGCGGCTGTGACGTGCTCCTCACTCCGGAACCGTTAGGGCGCAGGAGAGTGCCAGGTGCGAAGACGCCTGCATCAATGAATTTTTTCAGCGCGGCACGCGAGGGGTGACCGAGGCGCTGATGCGAATGGTTGTCGCTGGTGCGGAATTCAAAGGTGCGTATATAGCACGCTCGCACTGCTTCGGGTCCTCCTCAGGTGTTGGGGCAGGTTCCGTCGGCACCTCTTTCCCTTCCTCTTCCTTGTTCGCCGATGTTAGCATGAGCGCCAAAAATTTACTGTCAAGTATTTCAGAGAGGGCAATGTTGGTCCCGAGGATCACTCCTGGGACTAAGGTAGGTTCGCGCGGCTCGAGGTCAGGTCCGTAGACTGTGCGGCGTGGGGTCGAGGGCTCGTTGCCTCAGTCGATAGTGTCCTAAGGGTCACGATGTGGTTGAACATCGCACGGGTGCAGGGAGGCGCGGGGAACGACCGAGGGGAACAGTAGGAGTATCTATTTCACCTTTAGTTCCCCCCCTTTATTTTTCTCGGGATGTTCCCAAGCTATCGCCAGAAGTACCCCAGCCACTGCTTTCGCCGCCAGATGCGGCGCCCCAACCACCGACGGCGTCAGCCCAGGTACCGCCAGTGTTGCCTCATCCTCCAATGTTGATGGATCCCCAGCAGACATTGCTTCCCCACCCCCCTTTATTAGAGGCGCTCTCCTCTACTTCTGCGCCCCAAGCGGCACATGCGAAGCTCCTCGGCTTCGCGGCACGCTAGTTCTTCTTCCTCCGCCAAGGTAAGTTTCTTTGTGGGGTTGCGCCAGTGGGAATAAACCACGAGAAACTCCTCCTTTGTGTAGGGGCGCGCCACCTCGCGATCGTCAAAGGCTCCATGAAGGCTTCCCTGTTGAATGCTCTCGAGCCACTCTGCTGGTGTGTTGGAAATTGTTGTTCCTGGCTCCGGATTTGGCGGGCCGAAGACTCTCTCTATTACCACTTCGAGCTTGAGTGCCGACATCCCCTCGCTAGGCGGCGAGTGTCGCTCAGCTTCGGCTATGGCAGCAAGACCGCGGCCAGCAATCGCGTTGGTCGAAGCGGTTGGCGTGTGGCAGTCCCTGCAGATTCCATCTGGGTCGGGGTCATGTAGCGCCAACTCACGTGGTTGTGGGTGGTGTGGTACCCACAGTATGCCATCAGGGTGTATCCTGTCAGAGCGGTGAACATGCTCGAAGCGATGTGGAACGAGGTCGATTAGCTCGTTCAAGTCACAGCTGCAGTCAGGAATGTCGAAGTTGAGAATGTGTTTTCAAAATGTGCTCGTCCGATCTGCATGTGCGCTTATGTGAACAATGAGTAGTGCAGGCGAATGTCGTGGGTGTGGAGGTCCGTGCTGAGTTTAACTCCGCAATCCATAAGCTGCGCTGCCGAGAGGAGGTTGAAGCGCAAATTTTGGACGATCAACACATCACTCAGTCTAATCTGTGTAAGGCTCCCAGACGCCTTTAGCACAACGATGCCTTGCACGCTTGCGCGCAAACGAATGTTGTTCGTCACGGTGAAATAGGTGACGATGGGGGTCCAAACGGCGTTAGAGAAGAAACGCTTGGAGCCGACCATGTGTTGCCCGCAGCATCTATCAAGGTACCAAGTGTTGTACTTTTTGCGGTCATCGCGTGCGATCATCAGCGCTTCTGTACTCAGCTTGGTCTTTTGCCTGCCTTGCCTCACTTGCTCACTTCTTGACCTTGCTTGTACTGTTACATATATACACTGCTGCTCTTGCTTGTTTAGCCTTTTATATATATATGTGCTCCTGCATGTGAACTGGCCTTCTGGCCTTGAACTTGTGCTCGGAATGTGTGGTGACTTGGTGATCCACCCTGAGCTTTGCTTTGTTCTGCTTGACTGGTCTTGTGACCCCTTGTTCTCCCCCACTTTGCCTATGGGGGTGTGTCAAATCATAATATTCTGTAGGTTGTAGTGGGGTAGCCTATATGGGGTACACATTTCTAGGGTTGCATATTTGTACCACATTCCATTCCTTAGTGCATGATTCTTGTTTCAGTATTCACAAATGAGCCGTGAGGGCTCTGTGCAATTCACTCGTCCCTTCCATACAGAGTTGGCGACACCTGGCGAAATTCTGAATCGCGTAATTATAACGTAGCCCCTTTTGGGGGCCAGGCGCGTCTGGAAAGTCTGATATCGCGATATCCAATGGTGCTGTTAAAATTTTCGGCAGGGATGGTTACCGTTCGCAACTGTCGCCAAACCCCGCGATCTGAGGCAATCTGTTGATTGCTATCGATCGCAAGATATTGCATCAGATAGAGGCGATCGATCGCAATCGATCGGATTTCCGATCGCAATCGACAGATTGCCCCCGATTGCATGCGATTGCCTCAAAATACCCATGCGGCTTCTTGGAAATGGTGGGTTGCCCCAATCTGACGCAATCGCACTCATGTCGGGCCGATCTGCACCGCGTCCTAAGCCCTCCCGCTCGGAGTATGTAGGCCGCAGCTTTAAACCCGGCGCGCCCCAATAGCGTGTTGCAATTCGCGGTGCACTGCATCGGCTCGCCTCACGGTACGGGTTTAGGAAGGCTCGAGGAAAGCAAAATGCTGAAAATAATTTACACAAAATCCGTAGAAATATTATAAGCCCTAATAAATTCTTAGCAAACAACCCTTTCAATCTTTATCTTGAAACTTTTCTCTCCAAGTGCCCGGGTCTGGCCTCCCGCCTGCCCGGAGCCTTCCAAACGTCTCGAGCCGATGCACTGCAATGCAATTGCAACACCCCATAAGCCGATGCACTGCAATGCAATTGCAACACCCCATAAGGGTGAATTCTTGGCTCGTGAACTGTAACTCTAGCAAATCAATGTTCGGAAGACCCCAAGTGGGCCACTTCGGGTCTTCCGAACCTCCATCCAAACCTCCACTTCGTGTCTGACAGAATAGAATTCACTCTAAGGGCGCATTCGTAGCACGTGTCAGGCTTCAGGTCAGACCCGAAGTGGAGGTTCGGAAGACTTGAAGTGGCTCGTTTGCGAGGCAAAGTTGAGTTTGGATGAGCCAATTGGAGACTTTTGACCTGAAGTCTGACACGGGCCACGGATGCGCTCTAAGTGTGTGTGATGGGCCTGTTGATTGGTAGAATGGTTCATTCCCCCTTTAATGACGACTTTCGCGCCCACTTTCTTTTCCTTGGTCAATAAATACGTGTAAATGCTTTTGGGAATATCGCGGACCAATGGGAGACTGATTCGCACCTTGCCCTTGGTGCATCGCCACTGTTCTTAGCATGTTGCCCTCGGCTGCTGTACCTTATACAGTATCAGGTAGTCGGTGACAGTGATCAAGCACTAGCCGTCGAAAGAGGCCATTTCTGTACATGCTCGTTTGCCGAATGAAGAAGCAGGTCTTGAGTGGGTGAACAGTATCCCGAATCCCATCACCAAATACCCGAACTTCCTCATTCCCAAAATAATATACACAGTTAGTCTCATGGTGTGAAATTTTCAAAGTACAGAAACACATCACTGTGGCAGACTGGATATCGCCCGTGCATTTCCCACTTGCAGTTGGAAGTGTGGCAAGAGTAGGGGTGGAGAGGGGGATTAATTGGGTTGGGGGTGTCGGGTGGAAAGAACCCATTGTGGCCCATAACAGCAGTGGATCTCGTCCCTTCATCTAGTCCACAGGTTGTGGGAATTTTCAGAAAATGTATGACTCGGTGCGTTTAACATCATATGTTTAGACTCAGGTTTTTGAATACCCAAGTAGGAAAACAGAGTGTGCGAAAGTAGACTCGGGCAGTTTGCGGAGAAAGGTATGGCATTTGTGAAATGGCGTTTGAGGTGGCAAATTGCACGGAGTCAGTGCAGTGCAGTACAGCACCGAGAATAGTGAGAGCACTGTGAACTGGGACCAACTGAGAGTGGGTTGGAAAGAATGGTGGAAAGCTGAAATGCCATACCAGCTTTCCACCATTCTTTCCAACCCACTCTCAGTTGGTCCCAGTTGACAGTGCTCTCACTATTGAGTTGGAACTCAATACCGCTGATCATAATCTGTTGGTTGTGCTAGTAGTAGTAGCTGCGCACCGTGCCTCGAGCGACACATGCTACTATAGCCCCTGCTCCGGCGCGCGAGCCTCACTTCAGCAGAACGCTATTTGACTCTCCTGCACTCCTGGTTCGCCCTGCGGTCATTTATCCGTTGCGCAGCACGAGCCGAGGTTGAGAGCAGTTGCGGTAGCGGCGGTCGCGGCGAGCCCTGTGGAGCGGCTGCACGCGGCGGTACCGCCTCGCCTGCCCGACCTGGGCTGCAGCTGCGGCAGTGAACCGCTTGGGGATGGCGTGCCACGTGCTGCTCGCTCTGACACTCGCTTGGTGCATCGCCACCCTTGCCACTCCCCTCGCCATCCACGCCGTGCCATTTGAGGCATCGCAAGGTGCGACGCGCCGTACAATAGTGGTCTACCGTGACACCATCATGCGTTTCTTCGCCGCAGTTTCCGTTTCGTCGTTTCGCGGGGTGTCGGACATTTCGATCTGAGATCTGGATCTGTTGGTAAACTTTTCAGTAATGCTTGGAGAGAAAATCATGGTTGATCTTTTTGTTTTGTTTGTTTTTATTTCGTTTGGTTGCTTCACGAACACATGAGCATTTACAATGTTTCATGACATTCGTAGGCAGGTCGGATTTTCATATTACAATCCCTGGCTTCCGCAAGGCGTTTTTTCTCCTCGCCCCTCATCACCCACATCCATCAACCTTCTCTTCGTATTTACCTCTCCTTCTTCCCCCTTCCCCTCCTTTACGCTCGCTACACCCACCACGTGCAGCGCAATTCCTGCAAGACTGCCAGACAACATGGAGTCGAACTTTTGATGGTTGGAGTGACTCGAATACTGAATGCTCCTCTGCTCATGGCATCTCATGCGATCAGGGAGGGATGATCGTGAAACTGTAAGTTCGTTTCCCCTTCAATCTGGATGTTCCCACAGTTAAGCGCCCGTGCAGTACCAAGCGCACAGTATGGAGCCTCGAACCCTTGTGACAAATCAGGGACGGCTCCCACACACGTGGCTAGAGATGTGCACTGAGTCGAGTTTCTCAACTCGACCCGATCGGGGGACTCGACACGGGTCGAGTGTCGAGTTCGAGAATCGGCTGGAAAGTCTCGGTCGAGCCAAGTCGAGTTTCACCCGTCGAGCTTTTAAAGACTTCATCTCAAATTTACTGAATCGTTTTACATAAGCTACATATACTTGCAACATACCCTGGGGTATACAAAAAGTATGGGTCGTTAGGGCTACCATAAAGTAGCATGCGTCGTAGGTATTTAGTATGGTTAGTTTAGTATATAAACGGTAGAGCACCAATGCATACCAAAAACATACCATTTGCACTAACAAAAACTTGCTCTTTAGTATGCATATGTTTCACCATCTGTTTACAGTTCCATACTAGCCAGTAAATAATCTGTATTTTTTTAGTATGCGAACTACAACCAAATACATAGCATTTTGCATAAAATTGGAACAAACAATTAGCATTCATAAAACTCATGAAAACCATACGGATCACTACCAAATGTGTTTGGATGTTTAGCTAGGGACATTGGATGTTGGAAAACCTTATATTGAAGTTGCACATACACTTTCAATAAACATAACAGAGGCTCTACTACCGTAACTTTGCTGAATGCACAACGCACAAATCAGCACTGAACTTCCTGAGAATGGAAACGAACACAGTTCAGTCGAAAATGTCATGCAACGGCAGAGACACCCACCTACCTCACTCAATAAGTAAAACCTGCACCAAACAGCTATCAGAAATGCATCAGAAGTGAAACGAAACTGTCAGCGCAATTACACAGTAGCGCACAAAAACGAAAAAAAATGACGCTAAATAGTTAGTGTGGATAACACCTGGAAAATTCCTGAGGGACCTTCGCTTGGAGTCTGCAACAAAAAAAAGGGTCAGATGTTAAAAGCACAAGCAACTGCAGATCAACAGCATAGATCGGGTCTTATTGACAGCGACCGTGCGCCAAACTCAGTCACGCCAGTCGCGAATCCAGCTAGCAGAAGCAGCAGCAGAAGAACGTGCGCCTTACACCAACCTGCGCTAGCAGCAGGTAGCGCAGTCGATCCTTCACGCCAACGCGCCCAATGCCGCGATTCTCGCCAGGAACATGTAGCGAAGCGACAGCTTCAACGCTATTGTGCTGACAGCTGCGACTTGCCAGGAGCGTGTAGTGTAGCGTTGGTCTCACGCCACCGCGCTCATAACTTCCTACATAAGATGACGCACCTAGATTGAGCAGAGACACAGGTTGAGAACAGGGTAGCTCTTGCTGGAGTAAACTATTGCTACGAGAACAGGATGACGAAACTCTACAAGCGAGAGATACCAAGGGAATGCCGTACTAACACACGTAGAGCACCAATATGCTTCTGCCGAGACTTGAATGGAAACATGCGCAATAAGATTAAGAGGTGGGAGAGTTGGAGCAGTTGCGATGGGGAGAAGGGGGAGGCTGGGGAGATTGGGGAGGGGAGGGGAGAGAAATTGGGTAGCGCTTGAAATTGTGCGTTTGGCGGGCGTTGCTGCAATTGTGCTAGAGGCAGTTACAGCAGCAGCGCAGCTGCGCCAGCGACAGTTACAGCTGCTGCGCGGCTGCGCTGGCTTTGGCAGCGCAATTCTGCCTTGTGACCGGATGCGCTGGGTTGGCATTTTCTGCAGTTGCGCTGGAAGCATCTGCAGCACGATTAGTCAGCAGAGTTGCGCTGGCAGTCCAATTGGAGCAAACTCATCGCACAACAAATATTCGTAACCAATCAAAATCTATCCCTATCGCCAACAATTGTTGCTGTAAATCAAATGAACCAATAAATGGTTAAGGTGACGTGGATGTTGAAAAACGACGGCAACACGCTGTTAGTCCGTGTCGCGTCAATAGATCTTCACAATACACAAACTTACATGATAGCTATGTATCTGATAATTGTACTACATATTTTTTACAGACATACAAGTTAAATTACTGGTATTTAAAAATCATCGTTTATGATAGCAAATAAACTCCCAAATAATCAAAAGGGCAATGAATGAAATCTTTGTATTCAATATCATACACCCGTGGAATATTATATGACTAACCATCAATACGTATACATTCAATTGTGTTTAAGATCTGGTAACATATAATAACTGCCCTACTGGTCACATAAGTCGATGCATCAGCTCTATGAGAGTTAGATTTTCTCCCTTGAACAAAGGAATAGTGGTAAAAAAGACATCCAGACGCTGACGAGCTGACATGTCGCGCACAGTCCTATCCTTGCACAGATTGAGGATAGCAAACGCACGAACAAGCGTTAGGGGCTTCGACGTTGTGCGAACGAGCTCAAACCAGTTCTTATGGCAAGGAAATAGGATGTACTACCTGAACGTGTTAATAAATAGTGGTAAAAAAGGCATCTTGACGTTGGCGAGCTGACATGTTGCGCGCATGTAGGGATGAGCAAATGGCGAACTCGAACACGTTTGGGTTCGAGTTCGCCCGAACAACAACTTTCGCCGAACCGAACACAGTTCGGTTCGGCGAACAACTTAGGCTTCAGGACATGTTCGCCGTTCGCCCTTGGGGGCGAACATTTGTTATGTGTGGGCGAACTCGAACATGTTCGACCCGAACATGTTCGAGTTCGCCCAGGGCCACTTTCATTATAGTCACAACAGCTTGACACGGAACCTGGAGGGTTGGGAAGATAGATAGGGGGGTGGAGGGTGTGTATATAATCATGCAACGCACACTAGCATACGACACCATCATGTAGTGCTTATATAAAAGTCAAGTCACTGCTAAATTATCTCCTATCCTACGCATGCACACCACTGCTACTACCAACAACAGCATGCTCCGCGTCTGAGGTGTCGCCAGGACCCACCCCCACCTGCTCCTCCTCCCCCTCCTCCTCCTCCCACTCGTCGTCCTCCTCCTCCCCCTCGCCTTCAATGGCGAACTCTGGTGGTGCCTCGCCCTTGGCACGGCGGCCCTCGCCTATCCTCTGTCCAGGGTGTGAGGTGTACCATGATCTGAGAATCATGGAAGCTCGCGTCCTTTGAGAGGCTAGGCGGTGCCGCTTCCAGGATATGAGGTTGCGGCCGAGGGAGAAGACGCGTTCGCTCGACGCGGACGTGGCAGGGATGGCAAGATAATCCCGGGCCATGCGCCTCAGCGTCTGCACGTTGGTGGCGCTGCGCCAATACTCCAACGCTGACACGTCGCACCGCACCCTCCCTGACAAGTACCTGCCAACCTCGTCATCCTGCACCATCCCACCCCTCCCCGCCTCCTGGCTCGCCGACAGACGCGCCGCAAGGCGTCGGCGACTAGGGAGAAACTCGGCGTCCTCGTCGTCATCCGCCTCCTCTCCCTCCTCCTCCGTCACTGGGGCAAGTGGGGTCGACTGAGGGGCAATCGCTGCAGCCCGGGCCTGGTACTCGGCCACGCGTTCGCGAACCAGCTGGATCACCTCGCCTGACGAGGGACGAGGCCTCGCCCTCGCTCTGTGTCGGGATGCAGCGTCTCCCAGTGCGCGTCGTCGAGCCACGCCGCCTTCATGGACGGGTCCAGGAAGGTGGCGATCCACAGCTCGTTGCTTGACATCAACTCATACTTCTTCAAGAGACCCAGCGCCGCCTCAATCATCGGCTTCAGCGTAGCCGATGGCCCCTTGGCCAGGCGCGACTCCATAGCGTCAATCAAGCCGTTGTAGTACGGCAGGACCATCGACACTGTAGGGTATGCCGCTCCCTCTGCGGCCTTGGAGACTTTGGCGAATGGGCTGAGGAAGGTCTTGACAGAATGCAGAGTGTCCCAGTCTGCGTCCGTCAGGCGCAAGGTGTCCAACTTCGCCTTGTCAGCCTTCGACACGCCCTGTCGGGTAGAACGTATGGGTGGGCGACGGATAGAATGGAATGTGGGGTGGTTGAGGTTGTTGGAGGTCCGGAAAGTTGAGTCAAGCATGGCCAACAGTGCTGCAAGGGCCGGAAGAATACACGCCGACCGACATACCAACACATAAAACAGCATACACAACACCTGGCGCACACACACACCTGTGTCTGGGCAAAGTAGACAGAGATGGGTTCCTGCAGAACCCCGGCTCGCTCGACCATGTCGTGTGTCGACCCCTAGCGTGTGGGACTGTCCTGCACCAGCTTCAATGCTGGCTTCGGTTTGGCGGGGTTGCCCTGCGCGTTCAGAGTCCGCTGAAGGCCCAAGAACTTCCCCGAGCGCTGCGGCGAGTATCCTATCCACGACGCCATCTCTCTCAGAATCTTCAGCAACTTGCGGATGGCGGTCACAGCGAGTGCCGCCTTCACCGCAAGGTTGATCACGTGTGCCAGGCATCTGCGCACGTCACAAAACATTCATGGCGGAGAGAAAGGGAAGTGTGAGTACACAACACATTGGCCCACCCGCCTGTACTACAACCACAACATGTTCACATCACAGGAACACTCCCTTTCGTACCGGAAGTGCATGCGCGAGTTGAAGAAGCACTGGCCACCACCCTCCTCCGACATCCACCTGAAAGCGGCAGTGTTGCTAGAGGCGTTGTCTGAGGTGAACCCAAGACAACGCGTCTCCAACCCCCACTGCACCACCGTGTCCTCAACCACCCTTGCCATCTGCTTGCCCGTGTGCCGCCCGTGAATTTCCCGGAATTCAAACACCATTGTGCGCAGCTGGTAACCCTCGTCGATCCAGTGACCCGTTACCACTAGCCACGCCCTGTTGTTGGGTGACGTCCACATGTCGATGGTGAACGACACCCTGCACCCCAGCTCCCCCTCCTTCGCCAGCATCTCCGCGATGGCTGACTGAAGAGCAGCAGCCGAATAGACCACTGTGTCGCGGGAAACCGTCCAGCGCGAGGGGATGAAGTTTTTTTGCGCGCAGTTGCGGTTCAACAGGATGAGTAGCTCACGAAACTGGAGAGGGGAAGAGACAAGGGGGGAGAGGGTAGTACACGTCAGGGGGATGCGATAAAGGTAATATAGCACTGCACTGGGCCACACGCAAACAGTCAAAACACAAAGTGACAGACACGTCCACTAATCGCATACTTGCGAAATCAAGCATGGGATGGGATGGGGCACTTACAGCCTCGGCCTCGACGATGCGGAAGGGGAGGTCGCAGGTGACCACCAGCTTCGTGATCGCCTGCCGTAGCTGCACCGAGGTCAGTTTTGCTGTCATCCACCGCTCGATCCCTCCTGACCCATCACCTCCACCAGTTGCTGCCATCGCTTTCCCCTTGGCGAGCTGCGGCCAAGTCTTGGCATGTGGCCACTGATAGACGTAGCCATCCGGCACTCCCTTGTAGCCCCCTCGGGGAAACGTCTCCCCAGGCAAGTGAACCGACGGGGTGTGGTAACGGTGATGCCACACATGCATGTGCGCAGTGTGGAAGCTCGCAAAGTGCCGCTCGCCCGGGGTTGTTGTGGATTGCTTCCACGAAATCCTATCTGTGCAAATCTTGCACTGACGCTTTTCGTCTGCCCCTAACGGTCCGAACATCATAACTTGCCACCCCGGCCTCCTATTACCCTTGCTAGTCCCCTTACTACTCTCGGACCCTCCGTCCTCGTCTAGGAACTCGGGTGGAATCACACCCTCGCCCAAGGGCTCCCCAGTGAACGTGCAGGGATACGCCCGCTCTCTCAACTTGTTCGCTTTCTTCCTCTGCTTCGGCTCCCTAATGGTCACGGCCTTTCCCCCTCCCACCTTAACCCCCACGCTCCCCCCCCCTTCACGCACATGCTGTGATCCCGCCTCTGTCGCCGCCCTTCCACCACCCTCTCCCACCTCCTCCTCCCGCCCCTCTGGCTCCAACCCATCCATCTCGTGGTCTTCATCATCATCATCTCTCCCCTCCCCACCGCCATGCGTCTCTGGGTCCCACGCCGCCTCGCTGTCATCCCCGCTCCCCTCAGTGTTCTCCTCCTTCTCGCCCTCACCATCCTCCTCCTCATCCTCCTCCTCACTGCCGCTCTCCGGCTGTGTCGGCGTCTGCCCCGAAGGAGGGGGCCGAGGGCCGTCGTAACGGAAAGAGCGACGAGAGGTCGGCGCCGGTACGGTAAGCAACCCCCCAACGAAGATCGCGCCGGCTCCACCCGGTCCATCCCCTACTCGCCCCTGCATAGGTCGTGGTGGAGATCCCGGTGCGCTGCCCTGAGCCCTGCCTGCACCTCGGCCTATGGATCCACCACCCCTGGACGCCATCACTCCGCCCTCGACCCTAAACCCTAAAACCCCCTAAGGCAACGTGAGCGTTGGATGGTGCCGCACCGCACGTCCCTAATGCCCGATCCGAATCCTAGAGCGAATGGTACGCCCTACTTGAGCCCTTCCCGGGAGATGCTCGCTTTCCCTCCCTAGTAAAAATAAACTCCCTACACAACGTTAAACCCTATGCTTAGTTCTTCTATCTAATCTAATGTGAGTTCGTTTACACTCCAATTATTAACGTGCACTTGCTTGCACTTAGAAGAAGGAGGCTAGGGCGGCTGTGTGAGGGAGCACTAAAGCGGCTAAACAACTTCTGAGTTTGAGCTCACGAAATGAGCTCAAACTCAAATTGGCCGCGACCTAAATCTGGTCGCGGCCAATTTTGACGCGAACACTTTTGGTGTTCGCGTCGAAGCCAAGCCGAACACGAACATGTTCGTGTTCGGCTTGGAGAGGCCAACTCCAAAGTCGAACGCCGAACATGTTCGGCCGAACCTCGAACATGTTCGGCCCGAACGAATTGGCAAAAAAAAAAGGTCTGTTCGGTTCGCCTCGAACATGTTCGAGGCGAACCGAACAGGCGTTCGGCATTTTGCTCATCCCTACGCGCATGTCTATCCTTGCACCGATTGAGGCCAGGAAACGCACGAACAAGCGTTGGGAGTTGCGTAGTTGTGCGAACGAGGTCAATTTAGTTCCTCTGGCAAGAATAGGTTGTACTGCCAGAATTTGTGAATAAGTAGTTGTAAAAATGGCATCCAGACGTTGGCGAGCTGACATGTTGCGTGCATGCCTATCCTTGCACAGATTTGAGGCCAGCAAACGCACGAACAACCGTTAGAAGCTGCATAGTTGTGCGAACGAGTTCAAACCAGTTCATATGGCAATGGAATAGGATGTATTACCTAAACATGTAAATAAATGGTGGTAAAAAAGACATCAAGACGTTGGCGAGCTGACATGTTGCGCGCATGCCTATCATTGCACTGCACAGATTGAGGCTAGCAAACGTACGAACAAGCGTCAGGAGCTGGCAGTTGTGCGAACGAGCTCAAACCAGTTCCTATGGCATGGGAATAGGATCTACTAGCTGAACATGTAAATATATGGTGGTAAAAAAGGCATCAAGACGTTGGCGAGCTGACATGTTGCGTAGTTGTGCGAACGAGGTCAATTTAGTTCCTATGGCAAGAATAGGATGTATTGCCAGAATTTGTGAACGTGTGAATAAATAGTAGTAAAATACGCACCCAGACGTTGGCGAGCTGACATGTTGCGCGCTTGCCTATCCTTGCATAGATTGAGGCCACCAAACGCACAAACAAGCGCTAGGAGCTGCGTAGTTGTGCGAAAGAGCTCAAACCAGTTCCTATGGCATGGGAATAGGTTGTACTGAGTGAACGCGTGAATAAATAGTGGTAATAGAGGCATCCTAACGTTGGCGAACTGACATGTTGCGCGCATGCTTATCTTTGCACAGATTGAGGCCACCAAACGCACGAACAAGTGTCAGGAGCTGGCATTTGTGCGAACGAGCTCAAACCAGTTCCTCTGGCATGGGAATAGGATATACTACCTGGACGTGTGAGTAAATAGAGGTCAAGAAAGCATCCAGACGTTGGCGAGCTGACATGTTGCGTGCATGCCTATCCTTGCACAGTTTTACCATGGAACGCACAAACAAGCGCCACGTGCTGCGTAATTGTGTAAACGAGCTCAAACGAGTTCTAATGGCAAGGAAACAAGATGTAATAGGGACTTGAGTGAATTAATAGTGGTAAAAAAAGCATTCAGACGTTGGCGAGCTGACATGTTGCGTGCATGCCTATCCTTGCACTTTTTACCATGGAACGCACGAACAAGCGCCACGTGCTGCGTAGTTGTGCGAACGAGCTCAAACGAGTTCTTATGGCAAGAAAATTAGATGTAGGGACGTGTGTGAATAAATAGTGGTATAAAAGGCATCTAGACGTTGGCGAGCTGACATGTTGCGCACAGGCCTATCCTTGCACAGATTGAGGCCAGCAAACGCACGAACAAGCGTCAAGAGCTGCATAGTTGTGTGAACGAGCTCAAACATGCTCCTATGGCAAGGTAATAGGATGTACTACCTGAATGTTGAATAAATAGTGGTAAAAAAGGCACCCTGACGTTGGCGAGCTGACATGTTGCACAAAGGCCTATCCTTGCACATATTCACCATGGAACCCACATACATGCGCCACGTGCTGCGGAGTTGTGCAAACGAGCTCAAACCAGTTCCTATGGCTGGGGAATAGGATGTACTAGAAAACTACGGAAGATATAGAGGTAAAAAAAAACACCCAGACGTTGAAACAGTGACATGTTGCGCACAGGCCTATCCTTGCACAGATTCACCATGGAGCGCACCAACATGCGCCACGTGCTGCGTAGTTGTGGGAACGAGCTTAAAGGAGTTCCTACAGCAAAAGAATAAGATGTATTAGGGAACTGTGTGATTAAATAGAGGTAACCAAAACACATAGACGTTGAAACAATGACATGTTGCGCACAGGCCCATCCGTCCACCATATATCACCTCATAAACGACAGAAAACCATTAGCCTGATGATTGGCTCAATCTGAGAATATTTGCAAACAATTCGGAGGAAAAATATAAATTTAGCATGTACAAAATCATTTTACAGTAGCGTTGTACATACTAAACCAATTTTGGTAACTATAGAGTACACATTCACTTACCATACGGGGATCCATTTCGCCTACTGTTTGCGGAACGGAAAACCGCTTACCGAAAACCCTTTCCCGATTTTTGAGATGTTGGTGAGAACTCCGTCTTGGTCTGGAGTTTTTTCAGGACTCGTCGAGTATAAAAAAACTCGACGAGTCTACGAAAAATTTGTCGCGACATTCAGTGAGGGGTTCACTTACAAAAAGTGAACATTGCAGTTTGGCGGTGTCATTTTTGGAATCTCGATTTTAGTCATGGTTCTTCCTAAGCATAACGTCACTAGTATCCACAACCCTGACAGCCAAACGCATGCCTTTTTTTTCTTCTTCTTAAACTAACTTTCGCTTTAGGAGCAAACTAGATCTAGGTTAAGACTGATCGCGATTTTCAGATCTAGGATGGCGAAGTTCAAGCAGGGGGTGAGTAAGAACGTAAACGACGGGAAACGTGGAACGGGAGGGTCTAGCCGTGGTGATCATGCGGGAGAGGGGGGGGGGGGGTTGGTCCTAAACGTGTAGAGGTAGATGGCGTACAACAATGTAGGGTGTACAACAAATATCCTTGTACAGAAATGAGCCTTAAGCCCAACTTATGAATGGTGTGTCCTCTCCCCCCCTCCCTCCGAGCCGAGTCGACTCGACCGAGTGTAAGAATAAATCCCGTCGAGTTTTTTAAAACTCGCCCCTGTGTAAGCGAGTCTCGAGTCCAGCACCCTATATAGAGTTTCTCCCGACTCGAGCTCGAACTCAGTCGAGTCTTCACCAGACCGAGTCGAGTAAAACTCGACTCGGTCTAATGCTCATGTCTACACGTGGCTCACTCGCTTTTACTGCCTTCTCTACTCTTTGCAGTTTTCTCAAACTGATGGTGGTGGCATGAGTTTGCGTGCAGGAGTTTATATTACAATCAAGTGGAAGGGCCTGTCCCGAACTCCATCAGCAGCCTGAGAGAGCTCGTTGACCTGTACGTTCTCCCAGCCTTGTGACGGGAACTTTTGGCCTGCAAGACGCAGAGAGAAGCAACAACAAGCAGAGAACGGGAGTTAAGAAGACGACAGGAGGGCGAGAGAGGTTTTTTTCGGATGCTACGATAAGAGCCAGGCTCCATCATTCCATGTTCCCTTTACTTCTCACGTTGCTTCCATCTTCCAAATCAGTGAAATCCTACCGAGCCTCCCACATCCATGTGCTTGCTCCCAATGTATGCTTTCTAACCCAAGCTAAGTTCCACATGTTTTTGGTCGTTTGTATATTCGCCCACATCATTCTTGCTTCTTCCTTCCTCCCCCATTTGGTTCCTCTCTTGTAGCCCTCTTTCTTCGTATCTTTGCTGATTTTGCCACTTCTTGGACCATGTAAGGTTCACCTTGCTTCCACCACCCTCGTCTATACACTGCTATCGAACGCATACATCCGAGGGCAAATGTGCATGATCCTCTAATTTGTTGCTCCAGCATGTACAAAAAGCACACATTTCTCCTTGAAACAAAGTAGTCTGTCGTGCTGATTGTTTACGAATAAAAGCTTGAACTCGTTCTCTCCCGTATTAATTGCCTGTCGCGTCTCATCATCACAGTGATCTCTCCTACAATTTTCTCTCTGGCTCAATTCCAACTGAAATCTTCACCCTCACAAAGTTGACAAATCTGTAAGGCCTCTTATTTGCTGTGCTCTTCAACGAAGCTCACTCCTTTCTCACTATTTCGCTCCCTCTTTTCTTATGCATTGTACTTAAATTACCATTGCAATTCTCGTACTTCAATCACCCTTCTGCGTTCCTTTCGTATAATTGCACCTCTCCTCTCTGCATCTCTCATTTATCCTCTCTCTTTCCTTTCCTCCATTTTTTGTCCCTTTCTCATTCCTAACACGAAAATCCCTCTCGTAACCTTCCAAAGCCAGTCTATACCCTGTAACTCATAGCCCACTGCAGAGTAGACAGGAGCAGAAAACAGAACCGAGGTTCGTTTTGATGGGATGCGAAGCGACCCGCTGCCTCTTTATTGGCAATTGATTAGTTTCATACTGGACCGAACATTGATTGAAGCGGTTTGATGGGTTCACCCACCGAGTTGCGTCAAGCCCAACCGGATCGACGATGTATTTAACGAACCTATGGGGAGAAAGACGCTCTGCAGGTGAGCGTCCTGCGTCTGGACGCTGGACGCAGGATGCTCGCCAGGCCTCAGGACGCTTGGCAGAATGTTTTTCGGTCAGCCTGAAAGTAAAACTTACCCGCGAATTCAGACCCCCTTGCCCCCTTCACTCCCCCCCACCCCCTTCCACCGCCCCCTCCCCCCACCCCCCCCTCTCCCCCACCCCTCTCCCCCCCCCCTCCCCCTCACCCCCCCCCTCCCCACCCCCTCCCCCCCCCCCCCCCCCCCCCCCCCCCCCCCCCCACCCTCTCGTCCCCCCCAACTGGAAACGAACTCAGAAACGCCCCAAAGGAAATTACGTCTCAACCACGCAAAACCGCGTAAGGACCATAAAACCAAACCAAAAGGGCTCTGTTTCACTGGTTTAGAGAGATCAGAGCCCTCATTTGTGGCACCCCACTTTCCCATTCCAGAACTCTCCTTCGCTCGGAAGTAACCTTCGTAAACCCTAAAATCCCTTTTTTTTGTGGGGAGAAATCTTGTTTATGTGTACGCTATGTTGTCTTTCCCCTCCCCCAACGGCCCCTGTATGTTTTTTCCCCTGCCCGAAAGTTTTTGTACCCTGACTGGCCCTGCATCTTTTGACTGTCCTGGAAAGGAACGGGTAGCCGTCCAAGACGCTAGTGTGCAAGACGCTAGTGTGCAAGACGCTAGTGTGCAAGACGCTAGTGTGCAAGACGCTAGTGTGCAAGACGCTAGTGTGCAAGACGCTAGTGTGCAAGACGCTAGTGTGCAAGACGCTAGTGTGCAAGACGCTAGTGTGCAAGACGCTAGTGTGCAAGACGCTAGTGTGCAAGACGCTAGTGTGCAAGACGCTAGTGTGCAAGACGCTAGTGTGCAAGACGCTAGTGTGCAAGACGCTAGTGTGCAAGACGCTAGTGTGCAAGACGCTAGTGTGCAAGACGCTAGTGTGCAAAACGCTAGTGTGCAAGACGCTTCCAAGACGCTAGTGTCCAAGATGCTGGACGCGTCTTTTTCCACATAGTAGCGAACCCTGAACCGACTCCATGCAAAACCGGTCCGTACGAACCGGTTTGGTTTGTTGGTGAACCGATTCGGTTTACTAGGGTATATCAATGACTCACTTCGGTTCGGTACCCTGCTCATTCATGGAAATTGTAACAGTTTTAGTGAACCGGTCCAATTCGCTTGGATCCTAATCGGATTTCGAAGTGGCTAGATGACACGAGTCCCTGTCTGAAAACGATTTGAACCGATGCTGCGCTTATCCTATGTATGCATGCAGTCTTCGTCTCTATCAGCAATTGAAATCTCTGCTTGTGTCCTCTCATACCTCTTCATCACGATAGCCACTTATATTATAATCATTTCACAAATACAATCTCCAGTGCAATTGGCATGCTTACCAACCTCGTTACCACGTAAGGCCTCTGCATTGTTGTGCCCTCATTATTTTGCCCCGCCCGTCTGCTCGAACTAAACTTATGCCTCTCCTGACTCCTTCAATATATGCGAAGCCCACCGTGCCATCTTTAATCCTCGTCCTTTTTCTTGTAACCTCCGTATCTTGCAATGTATTCTGCCAGGATCATTATGTCCGTACTCTCTTCTTCGTTTTTGTCCTCTCATGGCAATGCCCACTACAATTCAGTTGAATTGTAGTTTGTTTAACCCTGAATTCAGTTACTCCTACCTAAGGTTCGTTTCCTTTTGAAATTGTACCTCCCAGGAACTTGGCAAACAATAAGCTCACAGGGTCAATCCCCAGCGAAATCAGCAAGCTTACGGCCTTGAGTACATTGTAATCCCCTGCTTTGTATTTCTATCCTCTCTCTGCTCTAGTCATGAGCAACGGAGTCCATTGATCTGCGCAGATCGGAAGACAAAACCGCCGATCAGCGCAAATGGACGGCCAGAATGCGTAGATGATCTTGGATTTGCGGTCGAAATCGACCATCCATGATCAGCAGGCAAAAGCACCAATATGATTGGCGGGTCGGTCGACCCGATTCGCTGTCGGGTCGACCTGACCGTATAAGCCCGGGTCGAATTGGCTCTTCTAGGGTCCTGACCTGACCTGTACCCAGGCTTGGTCCTTACCCGGGCTCGACCCATACCTGCCTCCGGGTCAAGCAAACTCGGGTGGGGTCGACCAGACAAAGAAGGTCTATTGTGCTGAACAGAAGTAAAGCAGCGCCAATACTAAACAGATGCACAAATCGAGAAGGGCAATAAATATTTTTAGCATGTACTAGCTAGTAAGGTTGAGCAAATAGACTAACATCCAATTGGTTCTTCTTGAACATGTTCGAGTCGAGTCTAATCACGGGCATTTTACGCGGCAGGGTGGGTTAACCCATTGTGGCCCGATCTTATGCTGGGTCGGTCCGGAGCTCATTTTTCAGCTCGACCTTGTCCCCACTTCTACCCTGTTTTCCTTGGAAATCCGATCCAAGTCAGTTCGGTTTGACGCGGCTCGGAAAAATATACATCATTGAACAAGTTGAACCGTCGAACGGGCTTGATGTCAAACCAGGCTGGGCGAAGTTGAACTGGAATGCCAAAGAAAGGTTGTGGTTCGGTTCGATGCGAATGGAACCACATCAAACCGAAGCGCGGATTGATGTTTCGCTCATGTCTCTACCACAGATAGCAATGTTTTTTTCCTCTTTTGCACTGGTTCGAGCTGAACCAGTTCGGGTTCGGCTCCAAACAGTTTGACCGGTTCATTCGACACAAACATAGCCTGAGCTACGTCAAACGTTGGTTTGACGCACATGTGGAAACCCGCATGATCTAGGTCGCGTTGGTGGCGTTTTAGGTAGAATAGTTAGAACTGGAGTTCAACTCAGAACTCCAATCATTCAGCCCACCCCTGTTAGAGCATTCTCACAATGAAACCCATAGGGTTCGACCCGCTGTGGTCTATCTAAGATACTGCACGCTCACCAACCGGTTTGAAGCTAACCAGTTGCGCGTCAAATTTGGTCCCAAGCTCACTCATGCCTAGTGGGTAGCGACACTTATCTGTCAAAATCCAGAAGTACCCCGGAGTGAGTATGGTATGGATGCGTTCTTTGACTAAGAATTCTTCTTCCTCTGGCTGGTGTGCAGCACGATCGGTACATACTTCTTTCCTAACGGCTTTGGACAACTCGAAAGTAGTGCTACCATCCCAAGTCCAGCACAAGCTGCTAAGGCAATCGCGCAGAGTGTCGAGGACGGTTATATTAAACCAGTAAAGTTTGGTTGAAGGCCCGCCCGACCGGTTGGATTTTGGTTCACGTCAGTACTGTTTCAGTCACAACGAACCGCCCTCTCCCACCTCCCCCGCCCCTCCTCTCCCCCCATCTCTCCCTTCATCTTTGGGTAGTTTGTCAGTAGCATGTCCTTTTGAGGCTGCAACCTGCAGGTACAAACTCGCAGATAGAGAAGTTCGCTTCATAGTTTTAATGTACTCAACCTGACTGAGTCGATTGACACAGTTGATCGGTTGAATATTTGTGCGTCACCATGGCTCGGGTATTTGAGAGACATAATTTCTCACCATGTCTTTCACTGAACTTATGTCGAACGTTATCTGAGTGGAGAAGAGGATATAGAACCTTTTTGGATTCATCAGTTTGAGAGCAGTGAGCATGTTTTTACCATAGAGAATGCACAATAGCTCAAAAGGTGCGGAAATTAATGAAGGAGGATCACAATTGCGTTTTATCTATGGAATGATTGGATTTACCCTAGTTCAGGAGATTCAATCATGCAGAGTTTTTTTTTTGGAATGATTGGATTTACCCTAGTCTCGGGGATCGCATACTGGTGCCTTTTTGTGTGAAGGGCTCGAGCTCCAGGTGGGCACAGATTCTGTTGGCCACAGCAGTTGTGGTGAGAAAAGGGCTTGTGCAATGATTGCTTGCTCTTCTCTGCTTCACTTTTGAATCTAAGTCATCCAAGAATCGTTGGATTACAATTTGTGTGAATCTCGTACATGTTAAGTGATTGCTTCACCCTGTCCTTAGTTATTACGTTTTTTTGTGTGTATCCTCTTCTCAACCCAGAACTTGTCAGTAGCCCATCGTATCTCCAATTTTGACATCCTGTTCGTCTGATTCCTGGTCAATATCTTGCGCACTTCACCAATATAACTCTTATGGCTTGTCTGATGTTCCTCCATCCATCGCCACAAGCGCAGGTGGCTGGATAAGAATCAACTTGTTGGCTCCATTCCTACTACCCTTAGCTCGTTAACAGCAATGACAAGATTGTATGGCCAATCTTTTGTCGCGCTGCTGCATCCGTTGGTTGAGAGACATATTTTACGTTCCACCAAGACAGTGCTGTTTACATGCATGTGCACACTTAACAACAGTGTGTTGTTGTTTTTGCGACAGAATGATCGCACCGTGTTCGTGCATAGAAGCAACTTTCCTCCATTTTTCTTTTATTTGTTTCTTCATCGTTCAGTACTGTTTTGCATCTGCCTTTGCTGTCACTATTCCTCGAAAAATTCCAGGGATTCTTGCACAATCGATTATTTCGTACATGAATGCGTGTGCCTGCTCTTCTTAATTTCTCTGAAATTCCCCAGTTTCTAGCTCTCACCACCCCCCTCGTTCTTCAAAATTCTTCGTAATTGCAGAAGTTTGGGCAGCAACAGCTTTGCCGGTAACATTTATTTCCTTTCGAACTTCACTAACTTGGTGTTCCTGTAATGCTCCTCCCTGCGAGCAGTGATTTCTTCTTGGATTGGCCTTTGTTTGCCAACTTGTTTCAAATCTTTACAATTGGAAGTCGAGGGAGTGAGGGGGTATTTGGTGAGGTTGGGGGGTGAAAGATGGGGGATGGGGCTCAGATTAGTATGGCACAATCGAGAATGAGCGATAGCATGAGCGTGTTATTACATAGTTGCCATAACAAGAGACAAGAGAGAGATATCGAAGTTGAAGTTTCAACTCCCCCCTTCTCCCCTCTCTCCACTCCCCACCTCACCCTTCCTTCCCAGCCACCGATTTCCTCATCCTCCCCCTTACTGCCAGTCTTCCACTCTCCTCCGCTTTCCCCCTGTTTACTCGTATAAACATATAATCTTTGCCGACTTGGATTATGTTGTCGTCGTTTTCCTTCTCTCCTCACCTCTTGATTGTCAACTCTCTCCAGCACAGCACCCATGTTCTGTTCTATTCTACCGCACATTCCTTCCTTACACGTCCAATTCTTCCTCTCTGTTCTGCCTATATTCTTTCCTTTAGCCTCCCTTCGCGTCGTAGTCAACCGTTTTAGTATTGCCTCTAGGAGATTTTTTATCTTGCTTCTGTCAGGTTGTTCTTGTGCAACTCCTCCTCCTCCTCCTCCTCCTCCTCCTCCTCCTCCTCCTCCTCCTCCTCCTCCTCCTCCTCCTCCTCCTCCTCCTCCTCCTCCTCCTCCTCCTCCCTTCTTCCTCCTCCTCTCCCTTCTTCGTCCTCCTCCTCCCTCCTTCCTCCTCCTTTTCGTCCTCCTCCTCTTCCTTCGCCTGTCTGTATATTTATCTTCTCCCTCCTTGCACCCTTGTTCTTGGTTGATTTCAGGTCTTGGTTTGACCTTCCCACGTTCTTCCTTTCTCTTGCTCTTCTCTTTTACACCTGTTTCCATAACTGCAGAACCATGGACAGCAACACCAATCTAAACGGAAATATATACTTCGTTTCGACGTTTACTAATTTGAAGCTGCTGTAATGCCTTCTCCCTGGCTGTCCTCTCACTTGCGTCTTGTTGTTGGGTATCCATTTTTCTCTCAGTGTGCTGGGGTTGTAGTATTACTAATTAATCTCTTGCCACAAGTAAATTCTCGCCATGTTACTCCAACGATTCAGGAAAAACAAGGCCAGTATAACTTGACTTACTTTTTGCTTCTGTGTACCTTACAACCAGCCAACGATGAAATGTTGTCGAGATCGTAGCCTTAGTGTTCTTTCTAGGCTCAGCGAGCCTTAACCGTGATAGCTAGCTGGACGAGAAGTCAACCGTAATACTTTCTAGGGGCTTCCAGTATTTTTTTAGCTTGACCAAAGCGAAAACAAATGTTGTGCTGGTTGTTATCCTCGAGCAAAGAGAGCCACAGGACTTCTGAACCCATACTCAACTTGTTGGAGTAGGCTAGTTTTCGCTAATAAGCCCTGATACTATTATTTTGGCCAGTTTTGACCTCTTGTTTCATTTCAGGTTCAGTTTAGGTACATTTTGAAGTTTGTTCCTAGACTGAACACACCCCACGTTCAGTTGGGGTTTCACCTCAACCAACACTGTGACTTTGCACTCAGATTTACTCAATGTATCAATGTGAACTATCTTGCTAGCATTGTGAATTCATATTTTTAGGGTGACCCGGGTCGATATTGGAATGAAAAGAAAACAAAAGCAAAGGAAGGAAAAGAACGCAAAAATAAGGCTTGGTTAGCTGAGTCACGGCTCGGCATCTGTGAGCTCATGTCATATCTCGATCTAATAGGGTCATGTATTGGTGTGGCATGAAATTGTGATGCCAGATCGATATCGTAAGATTGCACCATTCTGCTTTCTCCGGCTTGCTGTTCATGTTATCCTCAGGTATCTCAACAACAATCAGTTCAGTGGCTCCATTCCTTCTGCCATTGGCTCCAAATTACGCAACTTGGTTTATGCGTGAGTCATTCTCTTTGTTTTCCTTCATGCTTCTTCTTACCACGCTGTTTGCGATTCCGTTGCATCGACAAACTTGACAAGCGCAAGTCATGTGAGTGGTGAGGTGAGGGGTATCAGGGGTGGTGTTTGGGAGAACCTGGGGAAGGGAAGGGGGGTGGGAAGGGGGGAAAGGGGGGGAGAAGAGAGGCCATGAATGAAATGAGGATGGTCCAACATGCATGGACCGAACCGAACGTGTTTGGTTTGACTAGCATACGTTTGTGTGCGTGTTTTGCTCTAGATTTAACCTACACATGCTGTGAGGGTGAGAGGGATAAGCTAGGGCAGAGATTGAGCTAAACAATGAGTTCAGAAACTTTCACTGTACACCTGAAAATCCTACCCGAGCGACCTGTGTTGCGCAGGTGTCACGCTTGGAGTTGGAGTGTCCTTCGTCCAGACACGACGAGCTCTGGAAAAAGAATTATGATGTTCTCTTATGTGCCTTCTGCCATATTTCCTGCATGCGTATGTTTTCTCTCCATGTGCAGTGATTTCTCCAACAACTACTTCTCAGGCCCCGTTGCGGGGCTTCCATGGTCTAAATTGGTCCTTTCAAGCAACTACTTGGCAGGACCTTTGGACGCTACAGTTTCTAATTACAGCAATTTTGCTGCCAATTGTTTCGCACAGTCCATGTGCCCCCGCACACAGCCCAACTGCCCCCTCAAGCAGCAGCGGACTGCAGCAGAGTGTGCGGCATTTTGTGGTGGAGTGAATCCCTGTGATGGCAGTGGCATCTGCTATCCAGACGGACCCAGCTTGGTGCCAACGTGCTTGTGTCAACCGGGATTCGTGCGGGTTGGAAGGTTAAACTGTTTTGCACAAGGTAATCAATCACTCTTGTATCATCCCTTGCTACAGGGCACTCATCATGTGGCCTAGCTCCCACAGGTGAACACTATATTGTACTCACGAAGCACCACACATTGATTTTCTTTAACCCATGCCATTACATAATTTAAGAGGAAAGACAAGGCTTTTAGAAACCGATCTAATCCGATCGTGTGGTCATCTCACAATCCCCTTTACCAAACTGCCTGGTTCTGATGCGCCATTGAGGTCACGCAACCTGTGCGTTCTGCTGCTGCATAAAGTTTTGCAAAGTATGCGGCACATGCCTCCTTTGTGTACATAGTGTGTGTACACGTGTCTTGCTGATGCTCCACCATTTTCATCACTGCTTGTGCCCTGCTTTTATCCATTGTCTCCCGTTCAGGTTGGAACCAGAGTCTATTCGTCAACAATCGTGCCCTTCCCTTGTTCACTATTCTCACCACGGGGACGCAGAAACAGACAGCAGGGAAGTTTATGGCAGCGCCAACAAGCCTTTTCGCGTACCCAAATATTCGGAGCACGGGATGCGGCCTGGAGCTGGCTTTCAGTGCCATTTTTACGTTCTGTCTCGTTTCCGATAATGGCCCTGGCGGGACCAACGGCTTTGCGTTTGTGATCGCGGCGAACAGCAAGTTGGGGAAAGTAGCCGATGGTGTAGGTTATGATGGAATGGCGGCACAAAGTATGGCCATTGAGTTCGACACGATTCAGAATGCGAAATACAATGATATGAAGGAGCAGCACGTGGGGCTCAACATAAACGGCTCGGAAAAATCATTGGTTGCGGTGGAGTCGCCTTTCACTTTGAACAACGGTGAATATTACACGGCATGGGTGGACTATGACCCTTGGAATCGCGGCTCCATCAAGGTGTTTCTGGCCGATTCTAAGACGAAGCCAGAGCAGCCGCTGCTGCAGAGGGAGCTGTCGCTGTGTGCGGTGCTGCGGCCTAGTGTGAAGCAGTCGACGTTCTTCGTTGGCTTCGTGGCATCCACCACTGTGAAGCCCTTCCAGATGCACGCCATTCTTAACTCCACCATGCGGACAGGCAAGTATATGTATATGCTGCGTGGGTGGCTAACAGCAATGGTAGCAATGGCACTGGTGGCTAGACATGAGCAAATGGCATGGCCTTCAAGGTGGCTTGTTCATTTTGACCAGCCTGCCCTTTTTCTAAGTATTATTAGGCTCATCACGAGTGAGCCGAATGGCTGCCACAAGCTTGTGAACGAGCGGGCCAGGCTTGACAAGCCAGCAGGCTTGCTCAGGAGCGGGTAACTCGTTGATGACATGTGCTGTGCAACCGTTTCAGGGGTATACATCGGCCTGAAAACCTCCTTTCCTCCTGTCACTTTTATTTTCCTTGGCAAACAGATAAACACGTCATGCTTTTGAGTTGCAGATGGAACAAATTTGCACATCCAGGAAACCTGATTATTTTTGTATCAAAGATTACTCACAAGAGATATGCTTGTGGCCTCCCATGGTCGTGGGAGCCTGGCAGGCTCATCACGAGCCTCCCCGGTAGGGTTGAGCAAAGAAACGAACTCCCCGGTAACACGAACACGTTCGGACCACGTTTGTGTTCGCCTCTTGCTCATCCCTACTCCCCGTCTTACGAAGGCCACTGCGAGCCAAGAGCTGGCCTGGACGTTTTTCTGCTTGTGACGAGTCCGGTATTGGCTGGCCTTCCAAACACAATGGCCTACCCCGGGTCGTCACGAGGCTGCCACTTGTCAGCCACTGCTCGTTTTCTAGTGCTCGTGATGCCGAATCTGAGATGAATGGGCAATGCCGAATGTGAGATGAATGGGTAATGCTGAATCTGAGATGAATGGGTGATGCTGAATCTGAGATGAATGGGTGATGCCGAATATGAGATGAATGGGCGATGCCGAATGTGAGATAAATGGGTGATGCTGAATCTGAGATGAATGGGTGATGCTGAATCTGAGATGAATGGGTGATGCTGAATCTGAGATGAATGGGTGATGCTGAATCTGAGATGAATGGGTAAAGCTGAATCTGAGATGAATGGGTGATGCTGAATCTGAGATGAATGGGTGACGCTGAATCTGAGATGAATGGGTTATGCTGAATCTGAGATGAATGGGTGATGCTGAATTTGAGATGAATGGGTGATGCTGAATCTGAGATGAATGGGTGATGCTGAATTTGAGATGAATGGGTGATGCTGAATCTGAGATGAATGGGTAATGCTGAATCTGAGATGAATGGGTGATGCTGAATCTGAGATGAATGGGTGATGCTGAATCTGAGATGAATGGGTGATGCTGAATTTGAGATGAATGGGTGATGCTGAATCTGAGATGAATGGGTGATGCTGAATCTGAGATGAATGGGTGATGCTGAATCTGAGATGAATGGGTAATGCTGAATCTGAGATGAATGGGTAATGCTGAATCTGAGATGAATGGGTAATGCTGAATCTGAGATGAATGGGTGATGCTGAATCTGAGATGAATGGGTGATGCTGAATCTGAGATAAATGGGTGATGCTGACTCTGAGATGAATGGGTGATGCTTAATCTGAGATGAATGGGTGATGCTGAATCTGAGATGAATGGGTGATGCTGACTCTCCGATGAATGGGTGATGCTGAATCTAAGATGAATGGGTGATGCTGAATCTGAGATGAATGGGTGATGCTCATGATGGCGTGGCAGTGCTGATGGCAATGTGAAGACTTGTGGGATTTGGTGGTAGTTCTGCTTGCATGTTAATGTTAGGTATTTAGACTGACAATCATCTAGCCGGTCATGTCGTTCTCTTTCTGGTTTTAGTCTCATCCTTCATGTCTGTTTTCCTTTGTGTCTCCTTCCCGCACAGAAATGCGTCTTCCACCCAAGCCAGTGGATACCACAAATCGAGGTGAGGTCTCTGTCATGTGATGGTCATCGGTTATGATGATTAGAAGCAACCTTCACAAGCGATGCGCACCACAAGTATCGATCGAAAGAGGTGAATTCCGTCTATTGAATGCATATGTTGAAACTGTGGAATGGCGCATGATCCTTTGGCCCCATCCTTCATTCACACATCCACACCACCTGGAGCGCAAACAGCATCAGAAACGGTTTAAATCAATCAGTTGTAGAAACTGTGGTGTAGAGTCTTCAGCAAGACCCCTAAACTGGATCTGTGCCTGATGTGCCATCCAGGTCGACTAATCCAGGTCGACTAATCCACACATCTCTATTCCTTCACTCCCTTCCTCTCTTCACAGCCCTTGGCCTTACAATATTGGAGAACTCGCTTGCACCACCTGAAGCAAACCTGTTTTCGCGCTATGTGAGCACGGACTACCAGTGGACGGGCAGCAGTGTGACCGTGGACTCGTGGGCCATCCGTGACTTCCAGAATTGGGGCTCCATGGCTTTCCTCGGCTGGCCTGTCAAGGATCAGCTGGATTGCAGTGAGTCGCAAGGGGATGGGATTTTGGTGCGTTTGCTTCTACAACTCATGTCGAAGCTCCACCGTCTTTCACTTGAAAACTCTCCTTGTCTGTTTTGTTATTTTGTCGTAGTAAAGTATTGATTTGCAAGTCCAACCTCAACAAGCCTAGCTTCGCTATTTGACTGATTTTGTATTCTGTATTTTCTACGATTCTGTCTGCAGCACTCCATCCTCAGAGGCTCGCTGCTCTTTCTCCACCTTCCTCGCATCTACCTACTTACTCGCAGGTGCATGCTGGGCGTATGCGGTGGTGGCGAGTGTGGAGGCTGCGTACGGCATCGCATTGAATCAAGCCGCTCCCCAGCTGTCAGTGGAGCCACTCTTTGCAGCCATGGGGCTCACCGATGCAGACAAGTGCACCGCTGGAGGCTCCCCCACTTCAGCATTTGAGAAGCTCATCACTCTTGACGCCAGCAGTGGACTCACAGGAGGCAGTAACCCGGTAGGTCAAATGGAATGCGGGCAGGTAAGTGGGGTGGGGTGGAGTCATGGGAGGAAAGGCATCTTCTAGAAGAAATAACCTCATTGCAATTGTCAGGAGATTCAAGCAATTTGATGTAAAGAAAAAAACACGTGGATATGTTCAAGATGGAAAAAAAAACAGCCATTTTCAAACTTTCAGTTTTTGTCGACATCGTGTCATACGATCATAGAAAACGTTTAAAACGATGGAGAGTTTATTTTTCTATCGTTTTGGAAGAAAACATTCGTTTTTTTTTTTTTTTTTTTTTTTTTTTTTTTTTTTTTTTTTTTTTTTTGTTGTTTAACACCCATGTGTTTAGCTTACCTTCACATTGTAATAACATATTTATGTTTCTGCTGGTTTTTGTACTGAACGGAAGTATGAAAAAGGTTGGAAACCATGGCCAGAGTTTCAGTCTGGGAGCGCATATTCCGTCTTAGTGATGTCGTTTATGATTGTTATTTGATTATGTTACTTATATACTCCTAATCTAAATGTATTGCATTGGCACAATGTTGTCCTACACATATTCGTTGTCTTTGTGTTTGGTCATTGTTGTTTTTTGTTTGCTTGTTTTGGGGTAGTCTAGCAAAAGAGCGTCATATTTTAGTGGTGGTCTAACAAAAGAGCGTCGTTTTTTCCCCAAAACCTATTGTGAAAGACACTCGTTTTCTTCATTTGTTTTTTTTCTGCAATCATCCTTTTTCCAGCTTGGGTAATTTAACAATTCGTTGAGCTGTTCTTTGCTGCAAACCACTGTGTGATTCTTGGTTTTTCCTTTTACCATAGATCAACAAGGACATTGCGGCTTGTTGTAAACTTGAGTCATTCGCTTTGATGATTTATTTTCATACCCATCCTCGTGTTCATAGGTAAAGCCATATCCAGTGCAAGCTTTTGAGCGAGCGCTCTTCAAGGGGTACTTCGGGCTCATGCTGGCAGTGCGGCGCCAGCCAGTGGTGGTTCACATCGAGGCTTCTGCCGACACGTTCTTCCAGTATGATGGGGTGAGTCGCTGCAGCACCCGCGGTGCACTTAGTAGAATGGTGCATCCAGAAGCTTTGGATCTATTTCTATTATCATACTCGTGCTCTGTTTCCAACACGTGTGTGTGTCCTGGCCTTTCCTGTGTTTCATTACAGACGTTCAAATACCAGGATCCAGCTTGCTACACTGGCAATCTGAACCATGTGGTGCTCGTCATTGGCTACTTCATCAACCGAGACGACGGCAGCCAGAACCGCATTTCTCCTCCGTTTTGGATCATCCGCAACTCATGGGGACTTGGCTGGGGAGACAACGGCCACATGCGCATGGACATTCAGGGAGGGGATGGCGTGTGTGGAATCAACGTGCTTCCTGGCATCTACCCCATTGTCAAGAGTGAGGCATCTGTATATTCACAACTTGGGAATGGTGGCGGGAGAAGGGGGAGGGGGAGAGGGTGGTTATGAAGAGGGAGGGGAGAGAGGGGGGGGGGGGGGGGGAGAGAGAGAGGGTGTGGGAGTGTACAACCACAACTCCGTGTATAGGGATAGGGGTATCTGGGCATGAGCAAAAGTTGAACGCAAACGCGGGTGAGAGTTGAACACATGCATGTTCGACTCTAAGTTGGAACTTACGTTTTCGGTTCCTTACGTTTTCGGACAATTACGACAATTTTTACGTTTACGAACGGTCGCCCAGATTCGGCCTAACGTTTACGGTCACCTAAAAACTTTTCTGAGCTGCCCGAGGGAAAAAAACGACCAGAGCATCAAGAAGATTCCCTCCAACCTAGTTCCGTAATTTGATATCTTGTCGACGTCAACCTAGCAGCTCGTTCGCAACCTATCGTGTTTCTCTCTTACTAACCTGGTCAACGCTGAATTTGAAACTTTCACGGCCTTGAAAGGCGTTCCATACGTAGTAAAGTCGCTATTCTAGAAAGGCACATGACAAATTAGTGGTACGATCTGGTACCCGTACACAATCCAATAAAAAGTATCACATTAGTTTTTTTTTCCTGCTTGCCTCATACTTACGTGTAATTTTACGCTTTCGTTTACGTTTACGCTAAATTTCGCGAAATTTACGTTTACGAGACCTCAAAAAACGTAAGAGACCAACTTAGATTCGACTCAAACATGTTCAGCTTCATAGTCACATCAGTTTCCTGCGTGACGTTTCCATTTGTTTTTGGGTTGCTTTATGTGGGGTGGGTTTGGGTGCTCGTGGGAAGTCAACTCTAGCAAAATGTACAAATGTTTGACTCAAACATATATTGTGTCGAACATGTTTGATCTTGGCGCGGCTCGGCTGATCTGTTGAGCCAAACCAAAGATGTTCGATGAAACAAGTGCACATTTGAGTCAAACAATCTTGGCCCAAAAAAAAAGGCCCACTTCGGTTCGACTCGTGTTTGACCTTTTGGTCATGCGCCTAGATGTATTTATCTTAGGACAGAATCCTGAGCTCCGCTGGAGTAGTCAGACAAGTCTGTCTGGGAGGGATTTGGGGCTCTAAACAAGCTACAACGTTTGCGTTTTTTGGGTTGAGACGTTGGTACGTTTCTAACCATAACCAACCCATACTGCACCGAACCTAACTGCATCAAAAACAAAAAAGCATCGTTTCGTTTTGATGATTATATCTAAGTTGATGCATCTATTATTGGTTCTGAATAGTAGGCAGTAGCGTGTGCTAGGGATGAGCAAGTGACGAACGCGGGTTCGGTTTGCCCGAACATGTCAACTGTTCGCCCCCCTGTAAGATGTTCGCCCACAGTTAGCAAACATCAAACATATCATTTCTGTAAAAAGTGTTCGGGCGAACATGTTCGATGTTCGCCCGGTGCTCATGGCTAGCATGTGCCGTAGACAGGTCTTGACCGGTGGGTTGTCAACTTGCAATGGCTTCCGGGATTTGACAAGGTAACTGATGGCCTGTCCCTGCTGTTGTGCCATCAGCCACGTCGGGCAGAATGGTTGCACCAAGGTTGCAGCCTGGTATATGTCCTTTCGTGGATAGGGCCTCGTTGACACTGGAAAGGCTTTACTAAATATGTGAACTGGTTGCAGAGCAGTGGCAAGAAGGAGAGCAGGGGGAGCCAATCCCCCACATCATATTGTGGGAGATCACGGCCATTTTGGGCCTGGTGCCCTGCTTGAACCAGTTCCCTCCGAATTAGACCTTGCGCCAGCCATGTGTGGCGGTGGGTGGGGCTAGAGTAAGGCATGAGAGGGGATTGGGCCCAGCCAGGTCCTGTCTCGTTGCGAGTCTTCTTGGGGAAGGCTGATGGCACAGGCCTGCAGGAGCAGGCTGAGCCACTGCGAGCACTTCCAGTGGGAAGGAGGTTCAGGGGGGTGGTGCGCGAGGATTTGCATTCACGCTAGGTGCTATCGTAACAAGCTTCTGACAGGCAAAGGACCTTCAGGAATCAACGCAGTGCTTCTCCATAGGGGAGTATATCGGTAGCCCTTTTGCAGTTTGACATGCCACATTGTTGTCATCAGTGGTCTTCCAGGTACCTTCTGTTTTTACCTTAGTTGGCAACTGTTAGATCATGTCACTAATTCTCATTAGGAAGGAGCGGTTTGAAAAGTTCAAAACACTCAAGAACTGCGTTTAGGGCGAGGTCAGCGTGTTCATCCCTTGTTCGTCCTGTGCAGTTACTCCCGTTTCGTCATGGTTTAAATCGGCTCTGATAACCGTGGTGCACCGTCTGGAATCGTCTTGCACCACGACGGATGAACTGTGAACGAACATGGGACAAACGTGCTGACCTCGCCCTTAGCTTCTACAAACCCTGGTACCTATGTACAAGTTGCAGAGGCACAAACCCGTTGCTTTGCCCTATGGTCAACCAGCTCACATGTTCATGTTTTTCGTTTGCATTTTACCCTCCCTCTCACATTGCAGTTCCAGGGGATCCGTGCAGCAACAACAGCCACAAGGGCGACCAGGATCCCAATGGCATGAATCCTTGCGGTCGCTTCCCATGCCAGAAGATTTCTGAAGACTACACATGCACCTGCACTATTCCTGATGCGGCGGCGGTGCAACCCTTTGTGAAGGTTGACAACGGAAATGGCTACCAAACTTGTGCTTATGGTAAGCTACTATTGTTGAGTACGAGAAGGGCGAAGCGGTTCAGTAGCTGTTTCTGCATCATCGCAATGTTTTGAACATGGCTACTCACACTCTGTTTACCTAACACTGAGTACAGATAAAAACGGTAAGTAGCCAAGGCGAAATGGGCATTTTATCGAACTGAATTTTGGTTCGGTCGAGCCGGTTCTAGTAAACTTAGGGTACGATTCAAATCTGCCTTGTTTTGGTGGAATCGCCATGGCGTCGAGCTCCACTCCCTAACCCACCCTCTGTTGAACAGGTTTTATCCCACTTGCCCAGAGAAAGGTTTTTCCTGCCCAATAAAGTGTATTTTAGGGTACTCGCTAGCGCATTATACGCAAGCGCATTCCGTGGGAGACGCTTATCTGCCATCATAGGCCCCTATCAGCTCAGGTCAGGTTCGGTCGGACCCCCGAGGTCAGGTCAACCCGGCCCGACCCGTACCCAAACTAATCAGGCCTGGGTCGGGACAGTTCAGGACGGTTCGACTCGTTGCTCATGTCTAAGAGCAGGTGTGGAGGGATGGTTCTGGGCAGCAAACGAAGCATGTAGGTTTGCTAGCCCAGTGGCAGGTAAGGTGGGTGGAGAGCTCATGCTGCAGACGGGCCTCTGTTGGGTTGACGTTCCTTGCTCTTCTGGAGCAAGGAACACCGGATTCTCCTGTGGCAGCACTTGTTCAGATGCCGCATCAGAGGGCAGGTCCGAGCTGTATGGGCCGGCCAGGATTGGAGCAGTGGTGCGAGGGAGGGGGTCTGAGGGGCCCAGTTGAAGGACTTGAGCAGGTGGGAGGTTTGTGTGACGCTCGCTGCGAAGGCGGGCGTGGCCTCTGAAGCCGGTTATGGTGAATTATGGTGTCTCCAGCTCAGTTGCTGCGCGTGGAGGGGGGGTTGCTCAAATTCCGTCAGCCTACAGTAGTGGTGATATGGCTGGCCAAAGATGGCCTCCACGCAGGGGGAAAAATCTTCCTGCATCATCCGTCTGGGGTTGTTTCAAACTGGCTCTTGCTCTATGGGGCTGAAGGTGTTCGAAATGTTGACCTGAATGAGGACATGCTCCAGTTTCACTTAAAGGTGGGTCCGCGCAATGTGTGTAATCATGTCTGCCCATGCAATATGTTTGCACCTTTTCTCATATGACGTGTTCTCGCGCATTGCTTAGCCCCGTTTCCCTCATTGCCCAATCTTCCCTGCTATGTTCAAATGGTGCAACATCCATCACCCCAATTCCATTGTGGCAGTGGACGTGTGTGGTTCGTACTTCAAGAACCCCTGCTACGTGGGCTCATGCATCAACGATCGCAAGGGTTCCTACTCCTGCATATGCCCTCCCAATTACATTGAGAGAGTTACACTTTATGGCTTCCCCACCTGTGATCCAGGTGCAGTTTTGTGGGACAAGTTTGTGGCTAATTTTTTCTCCATGTTTTCTTGTTTTTTTCTGAACTTCCTCGCATTGCGTAGTGACACCATTGATTTTGTTCTTATTTCCTCCTCACTTTCCTTCATGTGGATTCCCTTTCGTCTCATGATACTCACTGTCAACAGCAAATTCCACAGCCACCAACATGAGAGTTAGTGGAGACAACTGGCAGTGTTATGATGTTACTCCTCTTATTGGCATCCCACTGAGAGACTTCATTGCTAACAATGCGGTAAGGATTGAGGAGTCGAGGCTGTGTTTGTTGGACACACGTATCTGCATGTTCTGATGTCATTGCACCACTCTTTACCTGTGTATTGAATATGTCTTGCCTCGCGCTCCTCCACTTCTTTCTGCAAATGCTTCTCAATGCAGGGCATAGATTGCGACCAGCCATTGCCCAAGGGCACTGTCCTTCAGCTGGGTGGTGTTCCTGACATACCTTGCACTGCCTTCTTCTACGCCCTCAAGGTGAGACAAGGTTGTTCCTTCTTAATTTCTACACACCACATGTTAGGCCACCTATGTACATCCCATTCTACATCGCATGCGCCTCAGCACGTGGATTCTCCCTTGCGTTGTCTACTTCCCCAGGGCGACACCTGTTCATCTGTCAACTCGCAGCTCGGCTTTAGTGTAACTGGTCTTAGCGACCTCAACCCCGGCCTCTACTGTTCGCCCATGGGCCTCGATGCGGGCCAGTCACTGTGCATCGAGCGCAGCCCTGCCCTCGCCTACACTGTCCCCGAGTGCCTGAAATACGGCATGCTGACATCACAGGACACGTGCGAGGGGCTGCTTCGAAAGGCCACCAAGGGGCTGGGTGGCGCTGTTGCTGGAAGTAGCTGGGCTGAGCTGTACCGCAACAATCCCGGCCTCACTTGCTCCCGCTCCATCCCTAGCAATTTTCAAGTGCAGGTATGGTCTGGGATGTGCGTTTTATTCCTGTTGAAGACAGGGAAGGGAGTAGGCCATGAAAGGTGGGTACGGGAGGAGCGAAGGAAGTGAAGGGGGCGTGAGGGTGGCAGGGCAGAGAGGTGGAAGTGGGAGTGGGAAGGGAGGGAGAAACGGTGGATGAAGGTAACTGTTGGTACATGAATACTTCATTTGGCCAGAGCCAATGGGACTTGTAAGATCCATTCTCTGTTGAAATTTCTGAATGATGTCCACCCTCATCACCCTTGCTCATATTGTGCTGTGCATGTCTTGTCAGCTGTTCACTTGTCAATTTTGGCATTCATGTATCCTTCTATGGCAGGTTTGTTTGAGGGCTGACTATTGGCCATTCACAGCGAGCGTTGTTTGCCAAAAAGGCAAATCCAAGAAAGTGGACGTCAAAGATTCATGTTCAACTGTTTTGGTTACGGGTGGATTTACAAGTAACGCGCAGTTCGCAGAGTACAATGGCAAGATGTGCTCCGGTGCAGTAGGCAGCAGGTCAATCTGTGTGCCTGTGTGATTGTGTAGCTTAAGGTGTTCGAACGCTTTCATAAGCTTTGTATACATACCCTGCCAATGCTTTGATATGATGTTGAACAATGTTATGCGACACTTTTTGCCTTTCTGTCTAATTTCATTTTGTGCGATACGAATATGTATTTAGGTGGGGACAAAAAAGAGATTGATGGCAGTGTATTTCCCACGCATACCATAGTGAACCTCTGCCAATATTTCACCCTCATCGCAAGTTTCCAGTATCCCGCTGCTTGCCACCTCCCTTGAAAGAGCCTACATGTGTCTTGCTGATAACCTTGCTACCATTCCTCTACTCCTTTCGCTCGTGCGCTCTCTTTCAAAGTAGGTTCCATGGTTACAATTACCGTATCCCCCCGGATATACCCCCATGGGGGGCAATAATAAAACAGGTTTTTTCATGGGGGTGGGCTTATAATCGAGTAAATTTATAAGCGCCGGCGTTTATAAAATGACATACATATTTTTTTATATCTTTTAACACCAAACTGTAGGTCTCGTGCTTGCCTTTTCAATCGAGTCGAAGTAACATGGGATCGTCTGTGAAATTCTCGCGCGCGCTGGGAGATACACCCAATCTGACTCACATCCAGCTCCTGACAGGTCCTGCTGACTGGACCCGCATCCAGTGCAGGGTCCGAATGTGAAGGGAACCGAATCTGCAACATATTCGCCTGCTAAAGTAAAAATCGTTACAGCTTTTTGAACACATTTCAAATTTTAAAGTTTACGTGCGCTTATAATAAAACAAGTTTTTTCAAGGGGTGCGCTTATAATCGAGGAGGGGATATAAGCGCCATATGCCAATTAGAAGCGCCAGGCGCTTATCCTAGGGTGGCGCTTATATCCGGGGGGAGACGGTAGGTTCCATGGTTTCAAGTAGGTTCCATGGTTTCAAGTAGGTTCCACGGTCTCAAGTATCATGGCCTAAAGTGGTATAATCTTTTCTCTTTCAAAGTAGGTTCCATGGTTTCAATTAGGTTCCATGGTTTCAAGTAGGTTCCATGGCATCATCCCTTAACACCCCCCTTTTCTTACACATTCCTTATTGTAGCTATTATGAGTAGGTGCAAGTACGGGAGGATATCGCGAGAATCTTTCCCTCGATGAAAGTTCGCGGTTCATTCACTTCAAATCTGCCGTGATGTCTGTCGGAATAGGTTCCTAACTTAGGAAAAGGAACCTAGGGTTTAGGGTAGGCAAGTAAGTATTGAGAGAGTTGCTAAAGCAAAAGAGGGTTTCACTATAGGCTCAAGGGTACAAATATGAAAGAACAAGCATGAGAAGAAAGGTGCACCACCTAACAAGCTCGATAAGTACACTAAGTCTACACTACAGGCAGTTATATAGTAATGTATACAATTACATTCTGACACACCCCCTAACTGTGTGCAGTGAAGAACCATGTGCAGAAACACCCGCGAAAAGTGTACACCAAGTAGAGCGCAGCAGACGGAGAGGGCAAGTGAGGAGGAGGAGGGACTATGAGAGGAGAGGAGGTAGGAGACGGCAGCTGAAGCTGCTGGCACCCGGGCGACTGGAGAAACTGGCACACAGGCTACTGGAGCAAGGGCATCAGGACTACTGGAGCTGCTGGCTTCAAGGCGGCTACCTCCTTTCAACCTCCCCCCATTGTTCCACACCCCCTTTTCACACCCCCTTCTCCATCTCTAGCGCCACTCCCTCGGCTCCCCCACACCCTCCCCCCCACAGCGGCAACTGCAGTAATGGGAGAGAGAGGAGGAGGAGCAGTAGATTACTCACACCCGCCACCCCCATACCCGCCACCCCCATACCCTCCACCCCCATAACCTCCCCCCATGGCTGCACGCGCAGCAGGGAGAGGAAGGAGAAGGGGGGGCGGGGGGGGGGGGGGGGGGGGAGAAGCTGCCTTGCAGCTACAGAGGGGCGGTGCACGGGTGCACGGGGCGGCGCGCGGGTGCACGGGGCGGCGCGCGGGTGAACGGGGCCGCGCGCGGGTGCCATGGGTTGGCGCGCGGGTGCAGCGGGGCGGCGCGCGGGTGCCACTGGTTGGCGCCCTGGTGTAGCGGGATGGCGCGCGGGTGAACGGGGCAACGCGCAGGTGAACGGGGCGTCGCAAGGGTGCAAACAGACCGTCGCGCGCCCGGGGCGCGCAACGGGCAGAAAAGCGCCGCGCGCCCGGGACGCATGGCGGGCAGAAAACGACAGGCAGGAAAATTGTCACGTGCCCGGGGCGCGCAACTGAAAGAACAGCAGCGGAAGCTATCGGTGGGCCCATTAGTGGCTTTGATAGCATGTCTAAATAGGTTCCTAACTTAGGAGAAGGAATCTAGGGTTTAAGGTGGGCAAGTAAGTATCGAGAGAGTTGCCAAAGTAAAAGGGGGTTTCACTATAGGCTCAAGGGTACAAATATGAAAGAACAAGCATGAGAAGAAAGGTGCATCACCTAACAAGCAAGATAACTACACTATGCCTACACGACACGCAGTTAAAGAGCAATGTATACAATTACATTCTGACAGTGTCCCCCCTCCCACTATTTCGCTTGTGAATCTTCCGATGGAAGTGGCCAGAGAGGTGCAGTTAAAGGCGTAATCGAATATATCACTATTCGTATTCGTATCCGCTATTCGTCGAATAGCGAATAAATCCCGAATTCAATACGTGCTTCTACTCTGAACTATTCGGGTTCCAACTATTCGTAGCATTCGGTTATTCGGTATTTGCACGACTATTTGGATCTATTCGTATGAGTGATGGATATTCATTAATAATTGATATTCGTGGCTATTCGTATGACTATTTGTGACTAACGTGCAGGTTTTGGTGGCGCAGAAAACCGACACTGACCAGGGGCGCGCGGATTGTGTGGGCATAAGGTAGCGCGCGAGGTGGTCGATGTGAAAAGCAGAGATTAAGAGGCTAACGGTGATGGCGCCATGGCGAGAGTTAGGTGGTGGGAAACGTGCGTCGAAGTTGATTGTGTTAGGCTGAGTCGTGGGTGGGAAGGCTGCGTGTGGTTGGGTTGGTGGGTGAGATCGTGGGCAGTGAAAAAGTTCCGCGCGTTTCTGTTCCACTCCGGCAGGTGTGAATTTGCAGAAGTGTAGTTATTGCCTCATGTAGTCGATCAGATTTTTAGGGTAACAAAAGAAAGAACCTATTCCAATCACCACACGCCAAGCCAATGTATGTGTGGTAGGCAAAATCACTGACAGAAACACCACACGTACGTGTATCAATCCGATATTTTAGTAGTCGAGCCTCACGAGCCCCACTTTTGACACGTCAACCAAATGTGTGCAGTGCGGGAGGTGCAACGATTTCGCAAACTATACATGGTTCATGACACGACTTCGACCTCCTACCACGTCATATTACATTGCTAGAGTTCCGTGTCCCGCAGTAATACGGTGTTGCATGCCTACTTGTCTGAACGTGTTGGAAAGTTAATCACAACAGACTTTCTAGACCCACAAAAACCAACAAGGACAACCTGTTGTCAGCACGATAGGGCTGTGTTGTTAGATTCTCTGACTCAACTTCCTATAATTGAGCCTAGTGGCACCACTTGCGTGGTGTTGGAAAAAGAAATCTACAACTCAGCCAAAAAACAATTACCCAACACCAACGTTGCTCGATCCCCAAATCAGCATGTGAAGGGTTGAGAACACCCCACGTAGAAAGAGAGTCAACATTCAACAGACCAAATTCCAAAGAGCAAACCCATTCAACACTTATCTTCTAGAGCGCTCTACTCATCAATGGCTTCATTCCATTTCCTCAAAATCTGACTAGCCGAGGCCGCTTTTACTATTTACAAATGTTACCGTCCATTTAGATCTTCAAAATTTGCTGTCATTCAAGTAGATTTATTTCGGTTTAGGCTATGTCTATGGAGAAGGAAACTCCGACCATGTCTTCCTTAGTTGGTAATGGAGGTCAAGATTCAACTATGGAGGGTTCAAACCCAGGTTCTCGAGAAGCCGCTGCTGTGGGGGGCAAGAAGCCTCGTGTGAAAAGAAAAACTGCTCCGATGTGGGAATTCTTTGAAGAAAAAGAGGGTGTTGAGCAATCAAAATGCCTCCTTCGAGCCTCATCCAAAGTCACCATGATCATCAAATGCAAGAGTGGGACCACAAGCGCGATGCTGAAACACGTGAAAGGTTGTTATGTGACGACATGGGACAAATCGCCATCGATAAAAAAAAAGGCATGGGGCGGATCCTTGCAAGGCAACATCGCAAGGAGCCTTTCGAAAATGTCCCCATACTCGGATGAGGAGAATCGGCGGAGATTGGTTCGCATTTGTGTGAAGGGTACGATGTTGTTTTGCGGCATTGAATGCAGGGAATTGAGGGCATGGGCAAAGCTCCTCAATCCATTGGTCAACTTGCCTTCGCGGGTGACCGCCACGAATGACATTCACGCCACGTACAATTCATACGTGAAGAAGCTCAAGGACCGTTTGGGAGCCGTACCTTCAAAGATGTCATTTACAATCGATGTTTGGACAGCTCCTTACCTTCAAGCCTTCATGGCTTTGACCGTTCATTGACTTGATGAGAAGTTTGAGACAAAACATGTGTTGTTGGATTTCATTTACATGGAAGGTCAACATACGGGGGAGGCAATCAAAAAGGCATTTGTTGATTCGGTTTTTGAAAAGTGGGGGCTCGGAGAGAAGGTCATGTGTGTGACTCTAGATAACAGAAGAATTTTTTTTTTGAGGATATCCACATGTTATGCTTCGCACATGTGGTTAACCTTGTGGTGGAGGCAATCATGGCCTCACCAAATGTGGACGGTGCTATGCAAAAGTTGAGGGCGTTTGCTAAGCACATCAGCGGTTTGCCTCAAAGGCATGAGAAGTTCTCGGCCAAGTGCAAAGAGAAAGATTTGGGAAATGCGACAACCATTTCCGATGACACTCCAACTCGATGGTCGAGTGCGCATGCGATGGTAAAAAGAGGGTTTGTGGTGAAGGGGGCAATAAATTCATACCTT